TTTTGGTTGATTCAAACAAATATGCTGAAAGTCATTACTAAGTTTAACTTTATCACTTCAGATCAACCAAAATAATACAAGGGTGTGCAAGATTTCAAGTTCTCTATCACTCTTCATCAGATAAGGTGGTTACAAAAAACAAGAAGGGAGAAAGTTTAAAAATTAAGCTGGATTTTTAACTATTAAAAGGATATTTCAAAAACAGTCCCATGAGGGAGTTTGTAGCCTCAGTGTTAAGGATTTTTTATATCAGATTACACCTAAGTTTTAGGGACAGAGGAAGCAATTGCTACCCCCAGCTCTAAAGAGACAAAGACCATTAATCCCAAATCTGTCTCTTGCTATGGTGTGTAGTACTGTCCTAGAACTCTGGGATGGTGGAGAATGCATAACCAAAAACAATGAAGAATGGGGATCTTTCTGCCACATTTTTTTTTTTTTTACCAAAACTATCATAGGGCCAAGGGCTTATTCCAGCTGAACTGAGATATTTCTCAACCCATCTTTATGGTAACTTTAAAAAAAAAAGGCCACTCAGAAGATGCAGCACTACAGAATCTCCCATGGGCCAGGTGGATGTGCACCTGAGAAAGAACTTTCTGCATTAGGCTTACATCTGCTGTAAGGCAACTGTACCTTTAATTGCTGTGAAGATAAGGGCTTCTCAACTTATATAGTTTTGGCATTACATAGCATTCAGAAATGTTATTATCTACTTTGAATAAGCTCTCTCCTGTTTTTGATGCCAAGGCCACTCCCCCACCCCTTCCACCAGGTCATGTTAGCTTCACGTGGGAGATATAATGCATAGCAACGCTTATTACATCACTCTACCCTGGCTCACTAGTGCTGACATGGAGAACCGTTTATTCTCTGATGGCTGGGTAATAAGCATTTACAAAACCCTTGTGGGTGAATTGATAAGTTGACTAAGGAGCAAAGCCATAAAAATGGCTAGCAATCATTCCTTAGCTCTGATTCTAATGCAGTATTTTAAACAGTTCTGTATATTCTTGTCACCCTGTGAACTTGTGAAGAACATTCCAAAACTGTAAAAAAATATGCTGTTACCATGGGCTCCCTGTTTCATGCAAATTCATGTGCACATATGTCAAGGCACATATAAAAAGAAATGATCTTTTCCAGAGTGTGTACCCATGCAACAGATTTATGTCTTGTATTTCACATGTAGGGAAAAGGTTCCCTAAACTAAGGGGGAAAAAATCATTCAGACAACCACTAAAGTTAAACAGCAACTGCTTTTGAGTCAACATACACATCTTAATAAAGGAGAAAAATGACCTGGCTGGTACTAAGCCACTAGCTTGTGGACCAATATATGTATTTTAATCATTCTGAAAGAAATGTAGAGGTGGGAATTAATAATTGCCATGCATATTTGGGAAGTTAAACAACAGCACTGGTGCAAATACAGGGTAAAAATACAGTAAATAGATGGGCAGAGCAATCCTAACATTATCAGAATACTCTGACAAATCCAACCCCCAAGAATGGCTGAAATGAAAGCAGAGATCAATCTGTATGTTGTCTTCCAAGGTTGTCTTCCAAGGCTCCTTTATTTAATGGGAGATAAATTATTTAGATCACTCAAATCGCTGTTCTAAATTTTATCTTGATGTCTGACAAGGCCAGACCCTCTGTGGACTTTTCAAGGTTGGGATTTCCCAAACCTAAAAAATGCCAGCAGCAAAATATAGCAGGGAAGTAAAAGAGAAGCTCTGATACTCC